CGCTCTGCGCTAATCGTGAAAAACGCGGCTTTCCCCAGAATCCAGATTCCTGCTGAACCCACCCCTGACCTTTACGTCTGGGAGATTCCCCCAAAGCCCCTAATTGTTGTCAGAAATGTGGAAGGGAAAAAAAACCTCATCACTTTCTATATAAACAGCCCAAAACTGCAGTTATGTGCCAGATGTGAGCAGGTTTTTTTTTTTTTTTTTTTCCTGTACAGTTGGAAGTCAATATAAAAACAGCTCATATATCTCAGCGGGAAGTAAAATACACTCAGAAGCGTGCGCCCCTCTGCTGCTCCCCGGCGCACGGCAAGCTTCCTAGCGTGGCAGATGGCTGCTTTCAGCTGCTCATTGGACTACAGGTCCAAGCCTGCCCTGCCAAAGCGTATTTGCACCTTGATCATTATCTTTGACTGGCCAACACATCTTTTTGGGGCCTATTCAAAAAAAAAAAAACAAAAAAAAACATTATATTTATTTATTTTATATTATATTTTATTAGTTTCTTACATGTTTCAAAATTTTATTCTATAAACAAAACAAGCAAAAAAAAAAAATAAAACCATTAAGAGATACATTTTAAAAAAGCAAGATAAGCAAGTAAGCACATAAAAAAAAAGAAGCATATAACACAATGGGAATATTTTATTCATTATTGTCTAAAATAAATGCATACATACATAGAAACAATAATTTAAAAATAAAACAAATAACAAAAAGACATTAAAAAAAGCAAACTTTATTTAATTTTTAAAAAATTATTATATATATATATATATATAATTTTTTTTATATATATATATTTTTCATGCTATTCTTAACACATATAATACAACAGCCAGATTGCAGATTGTATTCCCTGTTGTTTTAAAAAAACAAATCCAATAAAAAAAAAAATAAAAAAAAAAAAAGATACATTAAAAAGCAAAAAATTTTTTTTCGTTTTTTTTTAAAACTGTTTTGGGACATATATTGTTTGTGCTATTTTTTAACACCTACAAATACAATATGAATATTGTATTCCCTATTGTCTAAACAAATAAAATAAAAATAAATCAAATAATAAAATACATTTTAAAATAACAAAATTATTTTTATTTACATTTTTAAAAATGGTTTTGTTATATATATTTGTGTGCTATTGTTTAACACATGTAACACAATAAGCAGATTTTATTCCCTATTGTTAAAAAAAAAAACACACACATAACAAAATACATTAAATATCTTTTTTTAATAACATTTTTAAAAATCATTTTGGTATATAGATTTTTTTTGTGCTAATTTTAACATAATAGGCAGATTTTTTTTCCCTGTTTTTATAAAAAAAAAACAAACAAAATCTATAAAAACTGCAACTGCTATTCACACTTGTGCAACTTGTCATGCAACTTTGGACCCCTAAAATCGCATGACAAGTTGCGCCCCAGTGTTTTTGAGTACCATTCAGATCTGTGCACCCTAAAGTCGCGGCGACTTTAAAATAGTTCCTGCGCTACTTTGGTCCAACTCTCATGCTGCCTGAGAGCCATAGACTTCAATGTTAACCCTCAAAAGTCGCATCGTGAATATTGTCTACATTTGCTACATTCTACGCTGCTACAGTTTGTCCGACTTTTTCAGAGGCACATCATGGTTGTTAAGGACACCAGCGGGTGCCAGCTCCTTAACAACCTGTTGTTTCAGGGCAGTTTGCGGCCCCATTCACTTGGATAGGTTGCAACTGGTGACGGTAATACCCACTAAACGTGTCGTGGAGTTTAATTTTCATTGCAGTCCCAGCTTATGTGTTTTTTTGGGGGGTGGTAAAAAAAAAATGCAGCTTGGCTGCCAGTTTTTACCACCCCCTGGCCACCCATGTGACCAAACGCTAAGGGATTACAAAACCTTAAAGCAGATAAGCTGCTCTCTGTAGTCATCTCTGTTGTACTGACTGTAGTTGTGACTGACGAAGTGGAATTATTGTGTCTTCCCCAACATCTCCGCCTCTTCGTGGCCCCCAAAGGTTGGAGTTGATCTGTAGGTTTTACTACTCAGGAAGTTCTAGATTACACCAGACCACACACACAGTAGTGTATTTATGAAATAAAGGCATAGCTGTTCGTTTATTAAAACTGCATGAAATTCGGTCCGTGTGAATGGGGCAAAATGAATGTTCTCAGGCCATATTCTCTGCAGATTGAATGTGTGAATGGGCAAAATACTGCATAATGGCCACTAGATGGAGCTGAGGGGCATACTTGTGTAACACCACATTATGGCCACTAGATGGAGCTGAAGGGCATACTTATAATACCACATTATGGCCACTAGATGGAGCTGAGGGGCAAACTTATAATACCACATTATGGCCACTAGAGGGAGCTGAGGGGCAAACTTACTTACATTATGGCCACTAGAGGAAGCTGAGGGACATACTTATAATACCACATTATGCCAACTAGAGGAAGCTGAGGGGCATACTTGTAACACCACATTATGGCCACTAGAGGGAGCAGAGGGGCATACTTATAATACCACAATATGGCCACTAGAGGGAGCCGAGGGGCATACTTATTACACCACATTATGGCCACTAGAGGGAGCCGAGGGGCATACATATAACACCACATTATGGCCACTAGAGGTAGCTGAGGGGTATAATTATAGCACCACATTATGGCCACTAGAGGGAGCTGAGGGGTATACTTATAATACCACATTATTGTCACTAGAGGGAGCAGAGGGGCATACTTATAATACCACATTATGGCCACTAGATAGAGCTGAGGGGCATACTTATAATACCACATTATGGCCACTAGATGGAGCTGAGGGGCATACTTATAATACCACATTATGGCCACTAGAGGGAGCTGAGGGACATACTTATAATACCACATTATGGCCACTAGATGGAGCTGAGGGGCATACTTGTAATAGCACATTATGGCCACTAGATGGAGCTGAGGGGCATACTTGTAATAGCACATTATGGCCACTAGATGGAGCTGAGGAGCATATGTATTCCCTATTATAGTCAGTGCCATCTAATGGCCATAGTGTGGTATTTTCCCCATTAAGCACAGATGGACGAATCTCCCTGTACAATTATTGTGTTCCTGCGCCGCCAGAACCAAATAACCTGAACACTGCCTACATCTGAATGCATGTGTTCGGCTGACAATTTTCCGCCAAGCTCCTTTGATTTTTTTTCAATCAAAGAACGTTGGGCGGGAGGATGCCGACAAGACCACCTACGGAGGGAGTTTTGGCCGGTTCATCAGATTTTTGGCCGGTTTCAGACCCCCAAAGGGGGAGTAGCACAAGACAGGAAACCAAAGACATCCTCATAGACCGGAGAAGTGAAAGCACCGGTTTATCGATGACATTTCAGAGATTGTTTTAATGGTTCCGAACACTTTTCTCTGCAAAACCTGAAGAATCCACCAAATTCATGGCACTTGTACTGATTGTACCGACCCCGAGGAGCAAATTAATACGGAGGAATGATGAAGCCATGAAATAGTCAGCAATCTGTGTCTACAGATCTAGGAGTCATCGTCCGCCATAATGAAGAATAATATCTGAGAGTGAGACTTGTTACCGCACTTCACACCGCGAATCCGTATTTCACCCGGAGAAGTCCACCTGGAGGACTCCCTCTCCTTCCTCTATAACTCTCCTCTCCTGAAATACTCTGCACTGCTGGAGGACTCAGGTGGAAGTGATCCAGTGGCTGCCCACCCTGGTAACACCCCCCAAGCCCCTCCTTACTATGTTTCCCGCCCATCAGAAGGCCCAGGATGAGTATGGTCGGTGCGGCTGAAAGGGAGATCAATGAATGTCTGTTCATTAGTTTCCCCTTCCTGTTCATGACACAAAAGCGACTTGTAAAATTTCATTTCTGGGTCCCCATGTCACTTTCCCAGCCAGTATGGAAAGAAATGACAGGAGTGCAATCTGCACTGCATTAGATTCACTGGAGGACAGGTGAGTGTACATACCCTTACAGACATCAATGCATGCGTCGGGGGAATCTACACGCAAAAACATAGATTGCGATACACGTTACATATCACTGCGCACAGACTGAGACTGATCATTCCAGGCCTATTATTAACCACTTCCCGTCCGGCCCATGTATATAAACGGCCGGACAGTGGCAGTGGCAGTGCAGGGGTGGGTTGTCGTTCATAAATGGCGTCCGTCATTTTGGATTGTATGCGCTCCCTGGGACACAGAGGAACAACAATCACTGTATAGGACCACTGTGCGGGATCCCGATCATGTGATCACTGATTGGCCAATCAGTGATCACATGAATAGGAGTAAGCAAGATGTCACTTCTGACATCATTGCTTACTACGTGTGAAATCTGTGAATAATCACAGAGATCACATGGTACAGGGCTATTCACAACGGCCTTGTACCATGTGACAAGCTGTGACCAATCTCAGCTCACTCAGTATTTCTCAATGGCTGCAGGAATGCAGACAGAGAGAAAGAGAAATGATTGCTTTTACAGCCTTTATGGGTGTAAAAGCAATCAGTGTAAAAAAAAAAATAAAATAATTCATCACCCCCCACAAGTAGTACAGTGTCACCATGGTGACAGTGTACTGCTAGGGTGACAGTATGTAAAAAAAAAACATAAATAATAATATAAAAAAAATAAAGTAAAAATAAATTTAAAAAAATTATAATGTTTGATTATAAACTCATTTTGTTTTTTGTTTTTTTTTACTAAAAAGATAACTGAATACATTTTGGAATATTATTTATTTGCAAAATTTTATAAGAAAAACACTTTTTTTCCAAATTTTTTGACTTTTTCATTTATATAGCAAAAAAAAAAAAAATCCCAGTGGTGAATAAATACCATCAAAATAAAGATTTATCTGTCTCAAAAAATGCTAAAAATGCCATATGGGTACAGTGTTGCATGACAGCGCAATTGTCATTCAAAGTGTGATAGCGTTGAAAGCTGAAAATTGGCCTGGGCAGGAAGGGGGTGAAAGTGTCCGGACTGGAAGGGGGGGGAAAGTGTCCGGATTGGAAGGGGGGGAAAGTGTCCGGATTGGAAGGGGGTGAAAGTGTCCGGACTGGAAGGGGGGGGGAAAGTGTCCGGACTGGAAGGAGGGGGTGAAAGTGTCCGGACTGGAAGGGGGGGAAAGTGTCCGGATTGGAAGGGGGGTGAAAGTGTCCGGACTGGAAGGGGGGGGGAAAGTGTCCGGACTGGAAGGGGGGTGAAAGTGTCCGGACTGGAAGGGGGGGAAAGTGTCCGGACTGGAAGGGGGGGAAAGTGTCCGGACTGGAAGGGGGTGAAAGTGTCCGGACTGGAAGGGGGTGAAAGTGTCCGGACTGGAAGGGGGGGGAAAGTGTCCGGACTGGAAGGGGGGAAAGTGTCCGGACTGGAAGGGGGGGAAAGTGTCCAGACTGGAAGGGGGTGAAAGTGTCCGGACTGGAAGTGTCGGCGGGGGGGTGAAAGTGTCCGGACTGGAAGGGGGGAAAGTGTCCGGACTGGAAGGGGTTAAGCCGGGCTTGTCATGCGGTGTTTATGTGTCCAGAGTCACGTGACAAGTCGCACAAGTGCGAGCGGACCCAACGTATACATCATCCGTGTCCTCTTTCTAATCAAGGAAGCCGTGGGATTAGCATGACAGCCAGGCAAGTGGCATTTTCAGAAGCAGGGGTCGGGATTGGCAGGCTCCGTATTCTCTGTTTTCCTGGATTGGACGTGTGGGGAGTCTGCAGATCTGAAGATGTTTTGAACGTTTTGGGTGCTAATTTTAGCTCACGGGAGCCCCGGAATATGTTTATTTTTCCATCCAATCCTCAAATTTATAAAACTTTTTTTTTTTCTGGCTGGAATTAATTTGCATTCTTTTACAAAATAAATCTTTGACTCAACCCGTGCCAAGGATTCGACTATGCGAGTCAGTGAGATCTGCTAATAAGAAGACCGGATAATGGGGGGGGGGGGGGAGGCAGATACAGCGGCCCGGCGAAGAAAGGATGATGGGAACACGACGGTCGACGCTCGGGGCCAAACACGGGAGTGAGAGCCTCATCAGCTTTTCCCATCCGCCATCTTTGTTGTTCCCTTCAGCACTTCAGGGTAGACGTGAGCAGAACAGAAACATTTGTTTCACTTCGGATCGATTCGTTAAGTTCATAATTTTCTTTCGTTACATCCATAGCGAAATTCGCTTCGTTTAGGTTCGATTTGTTTATTTGTTTTTGACAGGATTCCATGTTTTCCAATGGATTCAAAGCATTCGAATCAAATTTGAGTCAAAAATATCGAATCAATCCGAATTCATTCTGAATGATAGCTGCTTCTATTCTATTCAACATTTCAGAAGACCTTCTATTTCATTTTTTTCTATTCTATTCTTTTATTTTCTAGTCTATTCTGTTATATTTTATTCTATTATTTTTTATTCTATTATATTCTTTTCTGTTCGATTCTTTTCTATGTCTTTATTTTCTATTCTATTCTCTTTTTTTCTACTCTATTCTTTTATTTTCTAGTCCATCCTGTTTTATTTTATTCTATTCTATTATTTTTTTATTCTATTCTTTTCTGTTTGATTCTTTTCTATTCTATTCCTTTATTTTCTATTCTATTCTCTATTCTATTCTTTTATTTTCTAGTCTATTCTGTTGTATTTTATTCTATTCTATTTTTTTTCTATTTGATTCTTTGTGATTATATTCCTTTATTTTCTATTCTGAGGCCAGTGCCCCAGGTGTGATCCCCTCTCCTCTGGTGTCTGGCTACTGTCCAGTGCTGGTGTGTGCCTCACCATGGCCACCCTTGTCCTCCTGGCGGTGGCTCTCAGCACCGATCACTGGTATGAGACAGACGCCTGGAGACACCGGGACCAGTCCAGGAAGCCGAGGAGTAAGAGGAATGATCCGGGTTACATAAACACCCTGGGTCAGCACCTCCTCCTCCGAAAGGGAAAGGCCATGGACCACCCAAGGGAGGAGAGCCGCTGTCCAGAGAAGTCCGCCTGATCTCCAGGGTGGGGGGAGGTGACACACGGGGGAATACCGACACGGGAGATCCCCTCCCCCCACCCGTACATGGCCATGGACAGCCACTGCACCCAGCGCTTCAACTCCATGTTGAGATGTCACCTGGAGGACGGCAGATTTTTTGTTGCCACCTAGGGCAGCACAAATTCTAACTGCCACTAACCCAGTGTTTCTCAACTCCAGTCCTCATGGACCCCAACAGGTCATGTTTTCAGGATTTCCCTCAGATGAAACAGCTGTGGTAATTACTAAGGCAGTGAAACTGATCAAATCACCTGTGCAAAATAATGAAAATCCTGAAAACATGACCTGTTGGGGGTCCATGAGGACTGGAGTTGAGAAACACTGCACTAACCATTGGAAAGTTTTAACGAACCTTCCGAAAATGAGAATTTTTGAGGGAACTCGTGTTTGGCCATGTTTAGTCGTGATGTTCTTCTGGCAGGACAGATGATGTGGTGGAGAGATAACGGCGTGTGAGGCTTATCAGCTTTTCTCGTCCCATTTACCATCCGCCATCTTTGTTTTCTTCTCTTGAGCACTTCAGGATATCAGCATCAGCGACACCTCATTTTTCTACAACGTAATCACCCCGGGCTGGAAAGGTATTAAGGAAATATTAAAAACAGAATGATTTAAAACACTCATAATAAAAAAACTAGGACAGTGTGTACCAAAAAAAACCAAAAAAAAAAATACAACACAAAAAAGGAAAAAATAAACTGCTTGAGTGTGACTCGCCCCCCTCCAGACTGAATTATGTTCTCCCCCCAAGGCGATGGATTGAAGGAGTTGGGCGGGGAGTTCTGGAAATGGACCATTCGAATCGCTGGATGCACAGCAGTTCCTGGACGTTTGGAAGCGTCTAATACAAACCCAGATTCACATATTGGATGATGGATGACCCGGGTTCAAATGGCAGCATGTCCAAATGGTTTTAGGAATGGAAATTCTAAGGAACGTTGAATTTGTCAATCGACTTTGGCCAGGGGCGCAGGTACAGAAAAAAAGCGTCAAGGTCGAGGTACAAAACCAAAACGAAACACTACAGAGAAATTTTAAGGATAAAAAAAAAAAAAACATTTTAATGTCAGGAGATACAAAACACTAAACATTAGGAAGATGCAAGAACAAAAATCATCGTAGACACACAAAACGGCGGAGAGCAGGGGCGTCCCTAGGGTTGGTGTCACCCGGAGCGAAAACACTTAGTGACACCCCCTCCGACGATCCCCGCAGGATGGATCGGATCTGCGGATTGAGCATAATGGATCGGACTCCGATCCATTATGCTCCCCAATCTGCAGATCCGATCCATCCTGCGGGGATCGTCGGCATGCAACCTATACGGGGGTGACACCGGACCCGATCCACGAAAAGGTAAGTTGTAAAGAAATCCGACGATCCCCGCAGGATAGATTGGATCTGCAGATTGGGGAGCATAATGGATCGGAGTCCGATCCATTATGCTCAATTCGCAGATCCCATCCATCCTGCGGGGATCGTCAGCATGCAACCTATACGGGGTGACACCGGACCCGCTCCACGAAAAGGTAAGTTGCAAAGAAAGCCGACGATCCCCGCAATATGGATGGGATCTGCGGATTGGGGGAGCATAATGGATCGGGAAGAGGAGCAGAGGAGATGGTATTGCGTGTGACACTGAAAGTGAGCTGAGATAAGTAGGAGGAGAACCAGGAAAGAGTCACGGAGGCCAAGGGAGTGGAGTTTGTTGAGGAGGAGGGGGTGGTCAACTGTGTCAAAGCCAGCAGAAAGGTCTAAGGCACGGGTGCCAAACTGGCGCCCCTCCAGCTGTTGCAAAACTATAAGTCCCATGAGGCATTGCAAGAGTGACAGTTACAAGCACGACTCCCATAGGCGGAGACATGATTGGACTTGTAGTTTTGCAATAGCTGGAGAGCCGCCAGTTTGACACCCCTGGTCTACAGCACGAGGATCTGGAGATGCCGACCATTCCCCACGACTAACCCTGAGAGCACCATAACAGAGCACTTTGATTGGCTATGCTATGGAGTAATTGTCGTTGGTTTTAGCACTTAGTAGGTGAGTTTTAATAGGGCAGTTTCAGTGGAATGTTGTGGGCGAAAGCCGGACTGAATCAGGAAGGTTGTTGTCAGTGAGGTAGCAACTCATACGGTTGTGGACAAAACAGTCAAGAAGCTTGGAGGCAAACGGGAGCAGGGAGATAGGTCCGGTGAGGTCTATTAAGTATGAGGGTGACCAGTGCATTTTTGAGCGGGGAGGGGAAGCTGCTGGAGGAGAGGAAGAGGTTGAAGATGAGGGTTAGAGAGTTTAGGATGGAGCAAGAAGGAAGCCGCAATAATTGTGAGGGGACAGGGTCCAGGGAACAGGTGGTGAGGTGGGCAGCGGAAAGGAGTTTGGCAACCTTAGTGGTAACAAGGTCGAAGGAGGAAAGTGTTGAGTGTGTGTGGGGGACTTGGTGTGTTGGTTGGGAAGAAAGTTGGATGCTGGATATCTCATCACAAATTGTGTCGATTTTGTTTTTGAAATGATTGGCAATCTCCTGGGCAGAAACTTGGTGGCTGGAGGCAGTAGGGGTGAAGTAAGGAATTAAGGGCAGAAAAGAGTTGACGAGGTTTGGCTGAGAGGGTTTTGATGAGAGTGGTGTAGTAGGTTTGGTTAGAAATATGGAGACAGAACTTGTATTTGAGAAGGGCATATTTGTAGAGGGTGAAGTTTTGCAGGGATTTAGCTTTTGGCCACGCTCGCGCAACAGCACGGCTGCGTCTCTTTAGATTTCTGGTGTCACCTGTTTGCCAGGGCTGCAGCAGGGTAGACCCGGTTCTGCATCTAGGGAGAGGAGCGAATGTGTCCAGGGAGGAGGACAGTATGTTGCTGTAGGAAGAAGTGGCCAGATCTGGGCAGGACAGGGATACCATCTTATAAAGGCAGTATCACGTACCTGGTGATGGAGGCCAATGGAGAGAGGGCTTCCCTTGCGGCTAAGTTCCAGACTCCCCTGGGAGTGGGACAGTGGGAGTCAGGCCCAAAGTTGCACAGGTCGCCTGTAGGAGTGCTGGTTGGTGGTCCACTCAGAAGCACAGTTGGTTGCACGGAGATAGGTCTGCAAACAGGAGCACCTGTGCGTGGTATGCAAGCCCTTCCGGGATTTAGGAACTCACAGGTCACAATCACAGGAAACAGGAACAGGGCACGGGGAGCTGGAGATTATCCAGCAACTTGAGGAAGTGATGAGCCTCCTTATAAAGGCCGTCTGGCACCAAACTGAGGCTGATGTGTACTTCTGCGGCCATGCAGAGTACTGGCAGAAATGCCAGATTTTCCAGAACCTCTGCCGTGGATAGGACCCTGACAGGCAGTCAGTAGCAGGATGAAGAACGGAAGGGTCAAGGTGGCGAAGGTCCTGCGGGTAACCGTTTGGTTAGGTTGGAGGCATGGGAGGTAGGAACATGGAAAGTGTGAAACAGAAGAGATTGTGATTGG